TAAAGATGTTGAATAGCACTGGTCCCAGGACAGAACCCTATGGCACCCGGCTGGTCACTTCTCTCCAGGATGAAAAGGAGCCATTGCTGAGCAACCCTTTGAGTTTAGTCAGTCAACCAGTTACTAATCCACCTAATAGTTGTATTGTCTAGCCCACTTTTTACTATGTTGTTTGCAAGAATATCATGGGGGACCTTGTCAAAAGCCTTACTGAAATCAAGATATGCTATGTCTACCACATTCCCTTCATCTAGCAAGCTAGTAATTTTATCAAAAAAAGAGATCAGATTAGTCTGGCATGACTTGTTTTTGAGAAACCCATGTTGACTTTTAGTGATTATGGCATTCCTTTCAAAATGTTCACAGACTCTCTGTTTAATGAAAAACAATGTCACAAATAATGTACTTAATTTGCATAACATGAAAAGTTTCATTATTAAATTTGCATATTATATAAATTTGAATAAAATTCAAGTAAGGCTACCCAAAATTGTGGAACTAGGACAGAGCAATCCTAGAAAAAATATGGTATAAATTTAACTGATAAGCAGGCAAACAAGCAAAGTGCAAATAATTTAACACAAGATACTAGCATGATAGCCAAGAAATTTTCAGTCTACTAAATCAAGTGATCTCAGAATGTCTATCTCCAACTCTTCCTTGTTCTAAAACTCTGCAGATCAGCTGTACTCTCCCAGACTGGTAGCCAACCTGCTGTTGAGGAATGCTGCTATTCTGTACTGCTGGCCAACCATGTAAAAATCCTAATAAGTTCAGAATGTTTTCTTTACAAAAGCAGCTATGATATACCATCTGTGCAGAATTCATCATCAGCTACAGACCCATATATATTTATATCCTTAATATTTTGCAGTTGAAAATGGGGATATATGTGACTAAGCAACATCATAGTGTGGTCAAGTTGGCAAATGTTATCAATGAGGAAGAAGAGACAAGCTAAGAAAGGCTGCAGCAGTTTCCTTTTGCCTACCCAGAAGGGCAAAATTCTGCCATCTCCTCTTCCTCCTGCTGAGTTAATTGATTAGTTAAATGGAGTAAGCAAAGGACAAAAGCAAATGGAGTAAGCGAAGGACAAAAGAG